ACATTGCACAGGCATTTGACCGGGTATGGCACTCCGGACTGCTCTTCAAGCTTAAAATCCATTTACCTCAGTCCTTGTACCTAGTCCTCCGATCCTACCTCTCTGACCGCTCCTTCCGAGTTCGCTGTGGAACAGAATTTTCCAATATCTACTCCGTTAAAGCCGGTGTTCCCCAAGGCAGCGTCTTGGGTCCCGTGCTTTACATCCTCTTTACTGCTGACATCCCTGTTCATCCCGATACTTTTCTTGCAACATTCGCTGACGACACCGCAATCTTATCATCCAACTCTGATTCCAACATAGCATCCTTAAATCTCCAAAACCACCTCACCTTGATTGAGCACTGGTGTAATAACTGGCGCATTAAAGTTAATGAATCTAAATGCCAACATATTACCTTTACACTCCGACGCAGTTCCTGTCCACCAGTACACTTTAATTCCATCCAGCTTCCTTACTCAGACACAGTCCGGTATCTTGGTTTTCATTTAGACCGAAGACTAACGTGGAACCCACATACTAGACTCAAAAGACAAGAACTCAACCGACGATACGGCGAGCTATACAGACTACTAAACAGAAAATCCAAACTTTCTATTGAAAACAAATTACTTATCTACAAGACAATACTGAAACCTATATGGACATACGGACTTGAACTGTGGGGGACAGCAAAAGCTTCTAACATCAAACGTATTCAATCCTTTCAATCTAAAGTCCTTCGAACAATAGTTGATGCTCCGTTCTATGTAAATAACAAAATCCTACACCATGACCTTAATATCCCATTTGTCCTAGACCTTATTCCAGAAAAATTCTCCAAATTTCACCAGAACCTTACCTATCATCCAAATCCCCTTGCACAATCTCTATCCAGCACCACCCATCCTTACAATCCTCCTCGAAGGTTGAAGCGGCAGTGGCCCAGAGACCTTCTGTAAATAAGCATCTATTGGAGTTTTGGCAATGGCCAGATCCTCCACTCAAGCCCGAGTGTGTATGATTACGTTAGTTCTTTTGTTTATATACATTTATTTTATTTTATTGTATTTATTTTTATTTTATTGTATTTTATTTATTATTATTAAGTTTCTGTATTATTATTATTTTTTTTATTTATTGTAAATAGAGTGTGAGTGTGTTCTCTGAACACTATTACAAATGTCCTTGATGTGACAGAATGTGATATTTCTAAATAAACAAATATAAAAAAAAAAAAATTTATTAAAAACATACATTATTATTAAAATAAATTTTTCGCTCTTATGCATCGTTTAGGAGTTATAGGAGAAACAACAAAAAATATCGAAAAAATCTGACTTTTTTGGCTGTAAAATGTTTTCCCTTGGTGGCCCGAGTTAGCAATTTTGTTTTTTAAATGTCTCATATATACAAGTTTAAATGTCTCATATATACAACCCATATATACAAGTTAAACAAATAAAAACTTTTCTCACATTTTTCACAATGGATTTCCCGTTTCGATCCTCAAATTGTTGGCCTAATGTTCTTTAAATTAGCCGCCATGTTTTAAAGCAGCGGCTCTGGGAACGGCAGACAAAGTTCTTTTTACTCAGAATAACATACACTTTCGTAATTTACAATCAAACCTTCGCCTACGGTCAGGTCGTTTTATGGGCCCTGGCTCCAGGGCTACCAGATCTGTAGAATAAAATGAATGCCTGGAAAAAGAAATAGAAGAGTAAAGCTAAATGAAACTTATATTGTTCACTTTTTTGTATGGCTATTCCTATTGATACAACCCATAATACAAGACAACGAACTTTTCAATAAACATGCCATGTTACATAAATTGGCAAATATGTTTTATGTTGCAAAACAGGTTTCCATAGTTTTCGACGAATAATTCGTCTACAATAAAATTACGGGGAACATACAAATAAAAATGAACCTACTTTACTTTTTTCATACTTAGAATGAATGGATTACTGGAATCAGATATACAATAGAAATAACGAATGCTTATTTGTTCATACATATAACGATAATTAATTTGAAAAAAAAACCTATATGACATGGTGTTTAAGTGATTCTTGTAGTGCTTTTAAATGTAATTACACGAACAATAATTCTTAAAGAGATAGTTTTTAATATTTGTTTTTATAAAACATGGTTATATTTTACCATTTTGGGGGGAGAGGAGGGGCTTCAGCCCGAAAGCCACCCCCCCGTAAATCCGATTGTGTATGAATACAAAGATACAAATCTTCGAGAGTATTATTCATCAGACTAAGGTAACAACAATTAAAAGAGCGAATATGTTTTTAAAGGAATTTGAGAAATAAATAAGCGAAAACAAGATCATTAAATCGAGTAGACTTTAATATGAACTCAGCAATTTGAAACTTAAATCAGTTATTTTAGAAAAAATAAAATACGAGATCTGAAAAATGAAATGTTGACCACTTCCGCCATATTAACCTGAATTGTCTCCAACTGATAACATTTTTTTTTAGAATGCTTGACGCATTATTAAAAACAATATATTTAAAAATGAAAAAGAGGTCAAGATTTCTTTTCCCGTGTATATCAATTATATATCAATATAAGTCAAAAACTTTTTCGAACTAGAAATAAAAAAATTGTAAGTTTAAAAGTAGATTTTCCTTTCTATCGCTGTTGAGTAAAGAAAATGTTTATTCAAATTACATATAAAAATTGGTATAGTTGGTAGAATATCATTAGAGGTAACACTGTTCATCCTTTATAACTTAACAAAAATAATTCCTTCTTAATGCCGTCACTAACGGATACAGAGTTTAATTTTGGAGGGACTTCAGCCCGAAAGATTTTTTTGTATAAATAAATTAGGATAATTACTTTGGAAGAAAGAAAGAAAATAACTACCTATATGAAATAGTCTTTAAGTGATTCTTTAAGTCCTATTAACTGTAATTAGACGAATAATAATTTTTTTAGAGATAATTTTTTTTCATAGAACATTATATTTTACCATTTTGGAAGGGGGGAAGGCTTCAGCCTGAAAGCCTCCCTCTCCCCCCCCCCCGGTTAATACCGTTATTTTGATGGATGGAAACTTGTTTGAAAATAATATCAAATTGTAGAACACAATTAAGATCTACTACTAAAAAGAAATGATAATAGCTGATAAAAATGCAGTTTGCATGCTTTGCTGCTTTAGATTACTTTACAACACAACAGGTATTTAAAGGGACCAGGTTAGTGAGTTACCCCCTAATCAATTTCAGAAGGGAGCCAACCTTTAACACACATACCTACTACCCAGACATTCTTTAAAAGATGATTATTCTCCTTAAGAGCAAATATCAGGTTTGTTTAAATAACACAAGAATTTGAACTAATCCATTTTAAGACATCAACAAGAAGAGAAAATTACTAGTGAGGAATGATTCAGTGATTAATAAAGTAAATATACAACTTCAAAATTGATTTTGTCAAGTTTAAATGATAGCAAAGCATTATAGACTTTAAGCCTGATAAATCATTATTTATCCACCTATAATAGGATGAAAAACTAAACCACAATGACTAGAATACAAATCACCAATTCGAGGAAAATTATATTCTTTAAAGCGAACTCTTATTTCATTATTACTTATAAAAAGGATAAACAAATAATTAAGTTTGGTAAAAATAACACCAACTCTGATACGTACACAGAGAAAAAAAATTTACAAAAATAACTATATTAAGTGTATGATAGATCAATAACAGATAATGGATAATAGAAAAACACATTTGTACTATTAAAACAAAAACAGCTTCAGAGAATATCATATTTAAAAACAGAATCAGCAGAATTACAGATATAAAAATGCTCTGAGAAGTAAAACAGAAAAATCCCTTCAATATATATGTAACAAAAATCACATTAACAGATTTTTTTTATGGTAAATTTAAAAATATATACAATTAATTTACAATATCATGTTAAAAAAAAAAACTTTATTATTTAACTAGATGCCAATACATTTACAGATATAACTGAATTACTGTAAATATTAATGGATCATATGAACTAAGAGAGGGTCTGTGACCTTTGTTTAGTTTTGGGTTCAGTATTTGAAGTAATGTCTTCAAGGAAATTATAAAATATTTTCCAAAATTAAATCATCATTAAAATTTTATAAATATAAAGAACTGTCTGTATGATATGATGTTCATAAGATAAATAACTTTTTTTTTTTATTAGTGACAGTTATCACTAATTTATGATCAGAAAGCTAAATACTTCTAATTACATTTTCCTATTAAAAGAAGTAGTTAGTTATTGGTAAAAAATTAAAAACTGCTATCCTTATTCAGCCCAATAATTGTTTTATCTAAATAGACAGCATAAAACCTATACAGAACATAAGGTATATCCTGAAATCAGGGTCAAATTAATTCCTTTCCAATGATTTTGATGATAAGAAAATCCCAATATTCACAGAACACAACAAAAACGAACTGTAAATAATTTGTGAATGATACTAATCACTGCAAAAGAAACAAAAGCAATAGTTGAACTACCATTTTTGTATCATAGTTAAGGTGCAAAGTATTTTCCATATTAAGACAAGTCAAAACTTAAAATATTATCTCTTTGTATGTATACTGTGTAGATAATACTCATCCATACAGAGTGTAGAGATAGTTTTATCATATTTCTGAGTTAATCAAGTTATTGACATTAGAAAGAAAAAGTGAACACAAGATAAGATTGATTGATTTGATTATCAATTTAAACAAAATCTATATTGCAGATGATTGAAAAAAAAAACAGAGATTAGCACAAGGGGGTTATCTAAGAATTGAACCTACTATTTATTGTCAAATTGTTAAGAAAACTGGTCCCTATATTTACTACAGTATATTAATCTAAAGTTATAATAAGGTTGGAAGGAATTCCGAAATGATAATAAGAATCGTCGTAGAGTGATAATAAATCAGTCATAAGCCAAAGTAACTCAGTGAAACCAATAGCAACAAGATAAAACAATAGTGTAAATACATACTTGTCAGGTATTCCTGGAGGTGAACTATCCATCATGCTATCTTCACACAATAAACTACACTAACACTTGCATTATCACTATAAAACAAACGAAACAAGAGGCACATCACTTCACAACTATAATAATTTAACCCACTTCTCTCAACAGACAAACCAGTGGGCTAAACATCAGAATAGTGATCAAATCAAAGATAGCAATAGATAATTTTTCATAGAACAATGTTACTATAAAAACAACGATATCAACGGTTTATGAAACTACACATCTCAAATTGCCATTGAAGGTGAGAAAAGAACACACTTCCTAGCCTTACAGCAAGATACTGGTTAAACCAACAAGTGGCGGCCATATTGGTTTAGACTTCAGCATTAATTGTTAAGATATCACGTTATGTGGAAAAATAAATAGATATTTAACTTCTGTGGTCTTCGAAATTTCAACAAAAATATTTTACACAAAAATCGAAAATTAAATTTCAATACAGTTGAGGATTGTTAAAAAATATTTAAAGCGAAAAGATGTATATAGCGAACTCTGTGGGAATTCCTAGGAACTATCGATATTTCAAGTTCTGTTTCCAATTAATTTAGTGAACTAATATTCTATTATTCACATGAATGAGAATTAATTAGAATTCACGATGATATTATTTATGTGGTATAAATTATTAATATTACTATATCATCAGATATACTGAAACAAATATTAATGTATAAAAGAAATTCTAATAATTTATAAGAGGTAAAAATATGGTAAGTGAAGAACAAGAAAAATATAACAATGTTATCTTTGTATTTACATTTTCCAATTTATATATATGTATATATACTATAAATGTATATATATATGTATGTATATATATATATAAAGGTAAAAGAATGACATTAAATATAATGTAACTCAAATGTGCAAATGTAACATCAATGCACATTTTCAGAATTGGATAGGTACAATTCAAATTGTATCATATTATTAAATAGTATTCACAAATGTGAAAAGAATTAGTTATTTAACGATATAAACAATATTTGCAAAAAAATATATAAACAAAGTGTACAACCTATAATTATGAATAAATAAATACCTAGTGCTAAATGTTTTATGTTCATATATTTTTAAAAAATTTTTCATTGTTTTTTAAATATTTTTTTACAAGCTTTAAATATATCCTAAAATATCAATGACAAAATTTAAAGGAGCTTATATAACAATCATAATACTAGCTATGCAGTGATAAAATCAATAATAATTCATAACAATAACAATCATTTCAGGTATGTCCATTTGGAAAAGAGTTCAGGGTAATAATAGGATTTCACAAAAGCTAAAACGAACCACTTTCATCTCATTCATTTTAAAACCTGTCACTTCAAAATAAATACATAAGCATTTAAATGCACACAGTAATTTAAATTCGAATTATGAAACGTTTAGGTTTCATATGGTTCACTTATTAAAATATGGTGAAATGGGCATTCTTTTTAATTATTTGGAGAAAAAAAAAAAAAAGAAGACCATTATATGAAACTTTTTAGAACAATTAGCAATATGAGTAACATATTTTCTTTTTAATTTAGACACAAACATTTAATAACGTAATTCTAATGATTGATATCCAAACAAAGAGAATGATCATATTTCTCCCTGAGCCCTTGGAAAAATATGAGCCTCTTAAATTGGTTAATTAGCGGGTGTATGTTTACCTCCACAGAGGCCACAGGAAACACAGCACCAGTGACAAGCCCTTAGGGGTGGATAGCACCAAAGGCAGGGTACAATTAGGGAAAGGAGTGCTAAACCTATCCACCTCTTACTACAACTTTCATCTACAGGACCACACTCACAAGGGTGTTGACCGAAGTCACCCTCGGGATCAGACATACAATGGTAAAGCATGCATTGAGCACAAGAAATACATGCTACAGTATTTATACTAGATTTAACACAGTCCGGGGCGTATTCACAACTCCCTCTCACATTATTATCAGCGCAAAAGGGTTCTTGGCAATGCCTACAAGTTTCTTTTCTCCTACCACCTGAAGCACCACTTTTGCTTGTTGCTAGGCCTTGAGCACTAGGACTTCTTTTCTTTAAACTTCCTCCAGAATCCCTCCTCTGCCCTATATTTCCTTTACCTTCTTCCATCAATGGATATAAATATTCATGAACAGTGGTTAGTTGTATATAAGAGTATCCTCCTACAGGTGGCTCTTCACTCCCGGGTGGCTGTGGAAGAGGTTTTGTTTGTGATGGTGGTGTAGGTAGTGCTTTAGGTTTAACAAAAGGTGGTGTAGATTTTCCAGTAGGCAACTGTGCAGGAGCTTTACCTAAAGGTAAAGGTTGAGGAGGAGGTGTTTTTCTAATAGGGGGTGTTTTACCAGTAGATGAATCAGATGAAGAACGTGAATCGCCTCTTTCTACTGGCAAGTTTAATGTCTGCAAAAGAAAAATATATATAAATCATTAACATAGGTATTAATAGTAATAATATCATTTATATCATATCTTAATACATTATATGAATAATACATCTATTATCTTTAAAATAGTAAATAGGAGAATCAACTGATATATTTAATACCCAATTACTCATGAGTGACAGAACAAATTTACCATAGTAAATTTTAAATTAAACAAAGTACAATTAAAAGCTGCATGACATTTATAACTTAGGCCTTTTACTGAATAAATATTAAAACATCACATAGAAATATAAATCTTGATTCTTAAGAATTTTATGAAAATGGATTCTCTTTTTTAAGAAAATTTGTATATATTATTGGTTTCATCATATGAATGAAGTTTAGGACCTATACATAACAAATACAGGATCATGTTTGCAATATATAGTTTTTTTAAGAACTACGTACATGAGTTATAAATAATTGGAAAAAAAAAAAATGCTTGGCGTCATTTACGAGAAAATTGAAACACACTTAAAGAAGTGAGATATAGCTCAGTAGGGCTATTTAGAAAAAAAAAAATTTGGTTACTAAATGAGAAAAAAATCATTTTTACGACATTTGTATGTATTTCTCCTCTCGTGAAAAATACAAATAAAACCGCTAAAAAGGCTAGATATTGAGAATTTCTACTAAATTAGGTGAAACTGAATTGAAAACTGATAATATCACCCTTTTTTGAAATTAGCAATCCTGAATATATTATCATCTTTTATCCGTTACATATATTTTTAATTCATTATATTCGTTATAAATCTAGGTTAAAAAGAATTTTTCAAAAAAGAAAAGACAAATTTACAATACATTTAGCCAACGTTAAGCTTTAAAGATAAATCGAGTTTAGTTTCTGATAAAATACGCTATCTACGAAGAAAGAATAAAGAGCTTTCTAAAAATTGTTTCTTGAAAATAGATAGCCATTTAAATGTTGACATAAAACGATAGCAGGTGGCACAGGGGTATATACGGGGGAAGGGGAGGGACTTTCGGGCTGAAGCCTCCCCTCCCCTCTCCCTCCAAAATGGTAAAATGTAAACATGTTTTATGAAATAAATTATCTCTAAAATTACGATTGTTCATCTAATTACATTTAACAGGACTTAAACATAAGAAGCACATAAACACCAGTCCACTTCATATAGGTAGTTCATTTTTGATATTGAAATTGCAATTATTTTACCAGTAATTTTAACTATAAAAATTAGAATAACTAGTTTCTTTCTTTCTTCCGAAGTAATTGTCCTAATATATACATACAACAAAAAAATCTTTCAGGCTGAAACCCCTCCAAAATTAAATCCTGGATCCGTCAGTGGCAGGCGGAACTCACTTGCGTTTCTATTGAAAAAATTCTACTGAAACTCACCTGTTAAGGAAGTTTTCTCGAAAAATCAATATCGAACTACTTACATTATATTATTTACTTTTAATGAATAGTAAAAAGATAACCACTATACATTTAACTGTGAGAGATTCTTTATTTTACAAAAAATGCTGTCTGAATATATGGGTTAATTGAGAAATACACTGTTCAATCTACTATAATTTATTTATATAATGGAAATATAGATTAACTAAATTATATATGTAATTAATTAAGTACAATTATTACTTTTTACTTTCATTTACCTATATCTGAAATATAGAGTAAGTGTAAGTATTACGACCGTGAAAATTTTGGAATATGAGTTTTCAACGGAAATAGATGTTTTGAAGTCTGTTTAGTCCAAATAAACAAGTCCCGCAAAATGTCTGAGTGTTAGCAGTCAAAAACGAAAAGTCATAAGAAAGTTAAATTGCATATTTAAGGTTTTTATATGCCTCGGAAGACACACCATTTTTTCCTTAAAATCGGATAACCGGAAGTGCGACTTTATATCAACTTTGAAACACATTTTTATAATTTTCTCAAAAAACGGCTCTAACGATTTTAATTAAACTCCGTGTATCAAAGTATAATTGAGTGTTTCTTTAATATCATTTAGGTATTATCCCCATTGATGTCACTTCACAGGGCTTAAGTACCTTTAATATAATTATATAATTATTTTAATAAATTAACTCTCTTTTATTGACAGTATCTATAAAAAATGGCTAAATATGAAGCCTGAAAGAATATGATAATTGGTAACTGGAGAAAAAAAGAAAAATGCTTATCCAGGTTTAAAATTAATCTTCGGAAATAGCAGTCAGGTGGTATACGTATAATACATCGCTGTAAAGCGGAGAATTTTAGAAAAAATAATATCAAATAAATAAAACTGTAAAAGGTAACGGAGTGACGAAAAAAAATATAAATAATTATTTCAGAAAACTAACATTGTTAAACGTAAATCACATGTTTCCAATGAAATTAAATGAAATTTTCCTACTGAATGTAAACTTTAAATTTTTTTTCCAATTTTGAAAAAAGAATTATTTAAAATCCACCGAATCAGGCCAATGTCATTGTTTAAAATACTATTTAATTGTACTTGTGTGAAAGAAGAAGTGAAATATAAAAATATCTCATGGATATGTTTATAACCTTAAATACATTTGCTGTAGTTTAATAACTCTAGATATGATATTATATTTAAATAATTAGGTATCTATAGCCGTTTATTTCAAAAAATCATCAAGTAACCTTTTAGAAAATTAAATTAGTGAATCATTTGATGAATTTTTCCCTTTGGGAAATTCCAACATTATCCATTTACAATTAGTGTGACAACTTTTGACCTATCCCATGGCAGGCAATGAAAATCTCGTAATTTAATTTTAGTAAACTTTACAATGGAAAATAACAGTTTAATAACAAATAGTCCTAAAATCCATGATCATTTATAGGTCAAATATTCAGATGTACTTTCTAACCTCTTTAGGCATATATTAGCCTTTCTTATGACAGAATTGACTAAGTCCAACTTCAACATTATTTATTATTAATTTTAGTGATGTTTCTAGTGGCAAAATTTATATCTTTATTCACAGTTCTATATTTCAACACTGAAATCACCTACTATGGAATCAACTTACTCACTGTCTGTATAGATGCAACTTTTCCAACTAGAAATATCATTAAAATGACATTACTCTAAAATGTTGAAATTGGAGTTAGTCATTCTGTCAACTGAAAGGTTCAGAGACTGAAGTTATGTGGTTAATAAAACTATATTTTTATTGCCTACCTATAATCTTTAAGCTTTAGCTCCGTTTAAAACGTACTTCAAAAATCTTATAATAGCCCAACATTGACAGAAATTAATTTCTATTCAAAGTAGAGGGGTAAGTTGCGCACACCAGATTTTTTTTTTAAAGCAGCTATAATTTTTAAGCACAATATTATCTAAATGGTCGTTTTACAAGTGATTATTCATTAAATATTAATGGAAAAATAGTTATACATCCTTCAACAAAAGCTATTAAAATGTTTTAAATAGTATTACACACTCGGTCAAACCAGTTAGCTAACTTTATGAATGATTTCAAAGCAAAAAGTTTGATATTTTAAAGCCTATTAATATAAGTTACAGTATAACATATAAGTTAATCAGTTAATTCAATACGTATTACATAAAAACTATAATAAGCGTAACAAAAAGTCGCTAACGAATTTTCAAAAATATATATATTTAAAAAAAAATGGTATAATTTTTATTAATTAAATGTCAAGTGGTGGATTTTTCATATATGCAATATAGACAACTGTTTAAAGACATCACGTAAAAATAAATTTTTATGAAGTTAATTTCTCTTAAAAAGACATTATTAGGTTTATTCGCAAAAGAAAAACAATTTCACCAAATAAATTTATAATATAGAAAAAGTAATTCATAATGCCAAAAAAAAAGTGTGTATCTCGGAATTATCACAATTTCTTATAAATCGTACAGAACAGAGTTTGGACATTTCTAACTATTCACTAAATAAAATTAACGATATTTAATATGCTCCACCTGCATCGTGAAATCGTAATTACTAAATAAAACATGCACTAATGAAAATGAAAATAACGAAATGTAACTCTATAAACGTAGATATATGTACATTATTAATATTAACTCACAATTTATAACATCAAATATAGTGAAGATCATACGACGATCAAGGTGAAAAAGTAGCCATACTAAATGATACTGAATATATTTGCATTAGATGATTCAAAGACTGACGTCATGGCATACGGACATAACAGGAATACAAATTGAATTAATCAACACAATCCTAATTTTCAAGGCAGTATCAACAAACGTATGGGATGAAATATTAATTTTATCCAAACCATTTATGAAAACGAGTGAACACAAAATAATAACAATGAAATACTGAATTAAGTAATGTAATATTTATCGTATATTGATAAAAAAGTTTAAAAGACCTTGAAATATTACTTTTTAGAAAAAATTTACGAATTAAGAAAGAAATTTAAGATATGATTTAAACTAATACGATAAGTTTATCAACATATTTCCTGAAATTCTTTAAAACATGAACAAGGATGATCAGTCATAAGTTCGCCGTTTTTAGTTAGGAATTTGATTAATTAATTAGTAGGAATTTCGAAAATGCGTGATAAAGATTGACTTATCCAAAGGCGCAGAGATGCTCCAAAGGGGGTTCACGGCGGAACTGGCGCCATTAAATTTTTTGAGGAGGCACATTTTGACGGGGTTTTGAATTTTTGAGGAGGGCACATTTCGACGGGGTTGAATTTTCGGAATGCCAAGGAAAAAACATGGACGAGACCACAGCAAGTGTAATTTTTTTCTAATTATTTCGCTTGCAATGTTTTTAAAAACAGAAGAGCAATAAAGTTTCGTGGAAAGGGGAGGAGGAGATTTAAGAGCCATCGATCTTGGGGAGGATAGGCATCCCAGCAAAGGTGATAAAGATACAATTTAGTTCGATATAAATATTATTACCGTAATTACTTATAATTATTTGTCAACTATAATAAATCGTGATTTATTTGAACAATGTAGCAAGTTGGTC